ATCCCTTTCCAGTCTCAAACAGAAAACAACTTTTCATATCACTCAAACCAATCACAAATTGGTCATACTCCACTCATTATTGAATCAGATATTCACACTTCCTCTTCTCAGTCAAATACTCATATTCCATCTCATCCACAAACCAACTTTCCCCCACAAACCACTTTGCCACAAAAGCAAACAAGAAAGTCATCCAGATCAAGAACAATATCTCACAAGCTTGAAGGATATCTATGCAAAGATCTTCCAAAGTCTTTAATTCCAGAAAACATGTCAAAGGACACTACTTCTTATGTAGCAAACATGATCACTTCCATTTCATCATACTATGATCCTGATTACATAGCAGCTCTCTCACATGTTCTCAGTGTCTATGAACCTGTAACCTATTCTCAAGCAAAGACTGATCCACACTGGGTGGAAGCTATGACACAAGAATTAAATGCTCTAGAAAAGAATCACACTTGGGAATTAACTGAATTGCCCAAGGATAAGAAAGCTATTGGAACCAAATGGGTTTATAAGATCAAGTTTCAACCCAATGGCACTATTGAAAGATATAAAGCTAGATTAATTGCCAAAGGGTATAATGAGATCAAAGGCAAAGATTTCAAACATACTTTTAGTCCAATTGCAAAGTTCACCACAGTGAGAGGATTGATTGCCTTAGCTGCTGCAAAGGGCTGGTTCCTACATCAACTGGATATAAACAATGCATTCCTCCATGGATTCATACATAAGAAGTCTATATGGAGAGTCCTAAAGGTTATTGCAAGGCACAACCAAATCAAGTATGCAAGCTAAAACGATCACTATATGGACTAAAACAGGCATCAAGACAATGTAATTTTGAACTCACAAAATTCTTATTGAAACTTGGTTTCACACCGTCCAAACTTGATCACTCTCTTTTCATCAAGGATGAGAATAGTAAATTTGTTGCTATTCTTACCTATGTTGATGATCTACTTGTCACAGGCAACTGTAAAGAACAAATCACTGAGATCAAGGAATCTCTAGACAAGGCATTTACCATTAAAGATCTAGGATCTTTAAGGTATTTTCTAGGTATTGAAGTGCCTAGAAACAACCAAGGGATCATAATGAACCAGAGAAAATACATTTTAGATATCTTACAAGATACTAATATGTTAGATTGCAAAGTTGCAAATTTTCCTATGCCTACTGGACTGAAACTTTCTGCAGAGGTTGGTGAACTTTATCCTCGGCCTGATCAATATAGAAGACTTGTTGGAAGACTTCTATACCTTAATCTCACCAGACCAAACATCTCTTATTCAGTTCATCAACTGAGCCAGTATCTCAATACTCCGAGAATCATACATATGCAAACAACATTGCATTTGGTCAGATATCTTAAAGGAACCATGCATTTAGGATTATTCTATCCTGCTCAATCATCCCTTGCTCTTAGTGCATGCATATTGTGATGCAGACTGGGGATCCTGTTTAACCACAAGTAGATTCTTATCTGGTTACTGCATCTTTCTTGGAAAGTCCCTTATTTCTTGGAAGACCAAGAAGCAAAGAACTGTAAGCAAATCCACAGCAAAATCTGAATATCGGAGTATGAGTTATACAGCTTCAGAAATGGTTTGGCTTGAGTTACACAGCAAATCCTATTCTTACGAAATTACCATGAGTGTCTCAATCTATGACCTAACTAGTTTTATTCCCAAAATAATATTTATATTACTAATATTTAATTAATTTCGTAATTAATGAATAAATAAATAAATTTCATGGACTAATATACCCTTTAGAATATGTCTATAAAACCCTAATCTTCTACTAATTTCCTCCAACCCTAAACTAGTCTTCAACTGCACACCCTCCTCCCACGACCGTCAGCCGCCGCCGCGCGATCGTCTTCCTCCGCCGTCTAGCCGCGCGGCCGCGTGCTCGTTGCTCAGGTTTCATGCACGATGGTTTGTTCGGAGGTTACCGGCAGCCTCACACATGTGCAGAGATGGCCAGAGAACCATGTGCGCTGCCGCTATCTCAGCCTTTGTGCGCCGCCCCCGCCCCAAGCTCTGCGCGCCGCCCTTCATCCCCAACCAGCCGCCACCTTCAAGGTGCCGCCATTCGTCCCCAACCAGCCACCGCCATATAACTGCATAGCCGCACTCCAACTCGCCGCCTCCATCTAGACGCATGACTGTACGTCCGCCTCCATGGGTGAAATAGATCTAGATGAATGCTCCAATTTGAGTCCTCCATCTTCCGTAGATGAACAATTCAATTAAAAATATAATTAGGTTTGGCTTTTTTGAAATGTGTGCAGACTGGATCCACTACACTTGGATCTACAGCTAGCTTAATTAGGCCCACCATCTCAGTTTTGCTTTTCTGTTTCAAAATTTTGAGTTTTTAAAATTAGGGTTTCTGCGCATTAAATATGTGCAGTGAATATGAGCAATGAACATCATACTATGTAGTAGATATTATTGAGTATGACAATATATATGTTGTACATGGCAGTGAATCAATGCATTAAAGAAGTTTATTCTGCAGTGATTATGACCGGTAATGCAGTAACATATATAGAGTAATAATTGCGTCATGAAACACAATATTTACTTAATCAGACGTAAAATAATAAAATTTTTAAATCTAAAAAATAAAAAATAAAAACTATAAATAGTTTCCTAAAGTAAATGAGAAAAGAATTAATTTTGGCGGAAGTGCATTGATTATTACCGGGCGTGCAGTAAAGTCGTGCATTAATGTTGTGCATTAACGGTAATATAAAGTGCAGTAATTTTAATTGGACAAAATTAGTTCAAAATGCACATATTTTAAATAAGGGTATTTTCGTCATTCAACCTTTAACAATAAACAAAATTTCTTTTATTTTTTATTTTTAGACATACAAAAGTCTAAAAACTAGTTAGGTCATAGATTGAGAAACTCGTTGAGTTTTAGTCATATCCTAGAAAATTTCCCTTTAAACAAATATGCTTTTGCTTTTTTGTTTTTTCAAAATAACACACATTTATCAATATCAATAAGATACGGAGTATAAGCAATACAAGTTTGTAAGCTTAAAACTCCAAAGAAGTGAAAAAATATGAAATATAAATATGATTTTCATCTTAAGTTTTACTAATTCATCCATTGAAAGTATAATTGTGACAAAAGTTGAAGTTTGAGTCTTATTTTAATAAAAGTGAAAGTATGGGATAAATTTGTGAATTTGATGATAGTTGGGGATATATTTAGCTAATAATCCTTTAAAATTTTAAAAAGAGAGATTACCCTAAATAGGACTAAAATTTAAAAATTTAAAAAGGGAAATTACCCTAAAAAGTTTGTATGCTCTGAAATAGGATTATCATGTTTTGATTCTCAAAATATGACTAATCACTGTCATGTTTTGGCAATATTAGACTTTAAACATGGCAATATTACTCCTACATTGAGAATAAAAACATGTCAATCATATTTTGGAATTTTCAAACTTTTTTACTCCTATTTCGGCAATTTTCCCATTTAATTACAACAAACAATTTTCTAATTGGAGGTCGCCTTGAGGAAGCGGTCCAGCCCCTCAAGATTACTCCAGGCTCTCCCAACCCCCTCCCCTAGATGCCCCTGGACTATAAAAAAAGGTTGCCCTTTCTCTCGCGTAGCCGTGCTGCGTTACATTGTTTCTGATTTTCGATGCCAGTGAATGGGGGATAGATTCTCCACCAGGCATGCTTTATGTCCAATACTAAAAAGGGAAAGTGTAGCAAATTTTTGAATACATCTAAAAAAGGAAAGTTTAACGAACAAAAAAATACGGAGGAATTATTATTATTATTATTATTATTACTATTACTATTACTATTACTATTACTATTACTATTACTATTACTATTACTATTACTATTACTATTACTATTACTATTACTATTACTATTACTATTACTATTACTATTACTATTACTATTACTATTACTATTACTATTACTATTACTATTACTATTACTATTACTATTACTATTACTATTACTATTACTATTACTATTACTATTACTATTACTATTACTATTACTATTACTATTACTATTACTATTACTATTACTATTACTATTACTATTACTATTACTATTACTATTACTATTACTATTACTATTACTATTACTATTACTATTACTATTACTATTACTATTACTATTACTATTACTATTACTATTACTATTACTATTACTATTACTATTACTATTACTATTACTATTACTATTACTATTACTACGTAGTATTATTTAAACCTACCGCTAAAACACTTGCTTCGTTCCAAGGTGGACTGATGCTAAATGAATTGGGCTTTGAAAAAAGAATTGAACGAGAGAGTAATTGTCAAGTAGTGCTCCGTGTCAACAGCCACGTAGACTTACGTGCTCGTTATTGAGCACGTGACGGGCTCTATAAAATTTCTGTTATACCCACTTTAACACTTCGCTATACACTTTTTTGCAAACCTTATGCGATAAGATAGTGGTTGAAGAGTGCATTTTCAATTTCTAACTTAGAGCATCACCAATGGTATATTGTTAACATTAATAATAATTGCCACATGGTCGATGTTAACATTGCTACTAGCATTTCCGTCTCCAATGCAGCATGTCTAAACTCAAGTTATGCTGACCTGTAAAAGAATAACGTAAATAATGTTAACATGAATGTCTTGTGATAACATGATGACTCAGCAATATGGTGGAGAACTACCGTAAGTAGTGGGTTTCATTTTTTTTTTGGTAAAAGTAGTGGGTTTCATTTTTTTTTTTGGTAAAAGTAGTGGGTTTCATTGCCGAATATGTAGGGGTTTAGTGGGTTACTCTTTATTTTATTTATTTAAAATCGCATCCCACCATCCGCTTTCCACTCATAGTCCATTAACTGCAATATTGTTCTATTGCTTAATTTGTCCAAAAGTTTTAAGTTTCATTTCGTGATTTAATTTTCCGTGATATGTTTTATTTATGCTAATGCAGGATCGATCTCATAAGCTACTTTGTTTCAGAGAAACATCACATTTTCCACAGCAAGCTTTGGGAGCTCCAATGATTCCTTTTGAGTTGCTTGACTGTCATTCGAAGGTTATAATTCTTTTTCTGGGTTTAGTGCATCTATTCTAGCTTTTATAAACAATTTATGGTTTATTGTTTAACAAATACTCTGTATAAAGCATCAAACTGAAATACAATTTCCTTTTTGTTGTTGTGGTGAAGAATTTCCTAATCCTTGTTGAATGGAATATGAAATAATAAAAAATCAGAGTAATCCACACTTGAAATTAAATCCACAAAAATTACTCTTTGTCACTCCAATCGTATATGAAAAAATAAAACTCCACATATACTTATATTTAATCACAAATCATTTTTCAAATGCATAAGATTTAAAATATGATCTAAGGTAAGTAAAGACAAGCAAAACAATAAGCACAACGGAAATGTAATGATTTCCGCTATTATTTATTTGTTTGCTTACCCATCCAAGCCCCAGGCATCTCAGTTATGAAGCTGATCACATGGATCACTATAACTTTAATTTGTCAAGGAATTAAGACTGGCTTAGATGGGTTAAACAGTTCCTTACATAGCTGAGTTAGTGCTAATTTGGTTGCAAATACTTTTTTTGATAATGATAATGCTTTCATTTTGCACTTCTAGAGAGGCGTGGAGGAAACTAGAACATTCTTTCCTACCAGTAATCCGATGCTCATCCATTTCGATGAAATATACCCATCGATCAAAGGTGGAGTTGTGACTATAGAGAAGGAGCATTCCACTGATTCATATCGAGGAATGAAGCATTTTCGTTCAGGTGAAAGTGAGCTCGTAGAAGAAAAAGGAGAGGGAAGGAGTAGGAAACAATGTGCAGCTTATAAGGATGAGGATGACTTATCAGAGATGTTTGATAAGGTTTTGCTGTGTACTGATATTTCTCCATCTGGAGCAGGAAAACAACAACAAAAAGGGCGAAGTGGTTGCAAAGGTTCTGCAGATAAACGCGGATATGAATTTGAATTTGTGAATGTAGAGTCTCTTCTGCTCAGCTGCGCAAAATCAATTGCAGCTGCTAATTACAAGGTGGCAGTAGAACAACTAAAGACGATCAGACAGTACTCTTCCCCTACCGGTGATCCAAACCAAAGGTTGGCACATGCATTTGTGGACAGTCTTGAGGCCCGGCTAGCTGGAACTGGGGCTGAACTGTATCCTTCATCATCATTTCACAATAAGATGGTTGTTCCCGAAATGCAGAAATCCAACATTTCATCATATGTGCCATTTATGAGGATGTCAATCTTCTTCGCAAATAGAATGATTTATGAAGCAGCGTCAAAAGGAGCATCACTTCATGTTATAGATTTTGGTATTCTTCATGGTATCCAGTGGCCTACTCTTATTCGAGATCTTTCACAAAGACCTGGTGGCCCTCCAAAGCTTCGAATAACAGGAATTGAGCTTCCCCAACCCGGTTTTCGTCCATCACAAATGGTATTGGAGACTGGTTCTCGTTTGGCTAAATACTGCCATCGCTTCGGAGTACCATTTGAATACAACTCTGTAACATCAAAGAATTGGGAGGCAATTAAGATAGATGACTTGAAGCTTGCGATGGGTGAGGTGGTTGCTGTTAACTGTACTCTTCGACTCAAACGCTTACTAGACGAGACAGTATGTGGTGTGGACTGCCCAAGGGATGGTGTTTTAAACTTAATCCGGGAAGTAAACCCTCACATCTTTGTGCATTCTGTTGTCAGTGCATCTTATGGTTCTCCTTTCTTTGTTAATAGGGTCCGGTCGGCTCTCTCCTACTTCTCTGCTGGCTTTGATATGCTTGAAACTATTTTCCCACGAAGCAATAGTGAAAGGTTAAATTTTGAACTAGCAGTTCTTGGGCCTGTCATAGCAAATATTGTAGCATGTGAGGGCATGGAAAGGTTAGAGAGGCCTGAAACATACATACAATGGCAAAATCGCATTACTAGGGCTGGGTTCAGACAAATGGTCCTAAATCCTCAAATTTTCAAAAAGATAAGAGACATGGCGAGGGAAGGATGTCACAAAGACTTTCTTTTTGCTGAAGATGGTCATTGGGTTCTACAGGGGTGGAAAGGTCGGATTTTGTTTGGCAGCTCCGCCTGGACCACTCACAACCAAAATATCCTTTAGAAGATTATATAATAAAAGATGTCAATTGTCATATGCAATTATATATTTGCATAATGTTATAGCTGCTCTCTCAAGGCCATATGCGATTAAGATTGCCCAGTCATAATAGTGTGATTTGTATCTTAGATCCATTAAGAAATTTTTAATTTTCACATGCAAGTATATGGAGGGACAATAATTTACGTGAAGAATAAATGCAGTAAAAATAATTAAAACAAACAAAAAGCATGCATGACTAGTAGAATGTAAATATATATGAAATTATTTCATAAACATCTCGTTAGTAAAATATTAGGCATAAAGTCTTATAGAATATGTGAGTAGTACAATGCATTTGAAATAATTTAAAAGTGAGCATAACACTTATGCATCATTGGTGTGCTTGATAATTAAAATTAGGTGCTTCTTAAAAGATGAAAGCAGCTTCGAGGAACTTTTTCAGCTTTCCAATCATCACAAATTACAATCCTCCCTATCATATTAGTTGCAACATTGCAATTTATACACTTTTCATGTACTATACTTTGATAATGTTTTATTTATTAATGTATGCGAATTATTTTTTTGGAAAAATAATATTAAATTCATCCCATTACTAAGTTTGATAATCTGATTTTTAATTTTTATCTACTAATACAAAATTAAATATAATGACGATCAAAGGTGTGCGTTGGCAAATGTGAAAAATAGAATGTTGCAACTAAAAAGGAATGGAGGAAATATATATATATATATATATATATATATATATATATATAGGGGTGGGTTCAAGTAAAAAGTAGTCTTCCCATGAAAAGTGAGAATAAATCTTGGCCTTTGATCACTTGAAAATGGATAGATTAGATGAACTTTAAACATAAGAGACGGTTTCAAAAAATATGCAAATGTTTATACTATAAAGAGGATAGCTACTAGCTAAAAGTGCACTCAGGCGTGTCAAAAAAGATTGTCAAAATTTTCAAACTTGTGCACTTTTTATTTGATATCGTATAGCACTTTTGTGTTCTACGTGTGCACTTTTTGACTATTCTGATACACATTTGTCACAATATTTTCAAAAAAAGTTCTCCATAATTACACAAATGCCACCGCGTTTCCCACTTAAAAATTGATCTCTTCCATTTATTTTTTCACATCAACGGCCACGATTAGTTCTTATTTTTCACCTATGAAGTACTTTTTATTTGATCCAAACTATATATATATATATATATGTTCAAATAAGAAAATCATCTCAGAATATCATTGGATCTTTGGACTTTTAATTACTTACGTGGCTACTTTTTTTGGGCAAAAGAGGTATTTCATTTTTTGCATCTATTTAGTTTCACGTGTAGCTAATTGTTAGGAGGATTTCATTCCAAATATAAAGCCTCCATTTAATTTTCTATTTATCTTCCTTATGTGTTATACTCCATTTTCTTTCAAACTTGTTTCTTCTTTGCTTAGGTTTTCTTCCATCTACATACTAGACTACCACTCATCCACTTCCACTTTTGAATAACTTCAAGCACACATGAAAAGAACCGCTCTTTCTCATCCTGAGGATGCATTACAGATTTCTCTTATTCATCCCAACATTGCAGAAATGATGTTTCTCCCCTTACATGGCATTTTCTGGAGTGATGCTCTTGTCGTGAAACCTACATATACATTGATGCGTTGTGTGTATGCCATGGTCTTTATTTCCTCGCCGCCCTGCTGTCTCACCAAATGGTTTTGTGCATCATTTTGATAACAAATGTGCACCACAAACCGTGCATCGTTTTAACAAATAATGTGCACTCACACCGATTCAAGTGTGCAATTTTGTAAAAATATATACACAGCTTTGAGAATAAAATCGAAGTAAAATATACACATACTTAAGTAACTTCATAAAGTATACAAATGGGTTAAAGAATCAAAAAAAGAATGATATGATCTTAACTATGGGGTATTTTTATTTGGAAAATAAAAATACGGTTAAAAACTTAATGGATCAGAATTAAAGTTACACAAAATTGGTATGGAAGTGCATATATAAAATTTCTCGAGTTAATTGCAATTGTTTTCAATATAGTGCACCTGAGTTCATTAATTCTTGCACATTTAATATATATAATTACATGTTACAAGTTTTTGAAGATATGCACTATTTTAACAACAAATGTGCAACAAGGAATGTGAAATTAGTTACACATTAAAGGATTTGAAATATATAGTGCAAATGTGTACATGATGAATTACGTTTTTTGAATTTTTGCATGATTTTGTATATTCATTTTAGAATTTCTTGCCTATATCTATATTCTAGTCCCCATATACTTAAGGAGATTAATTTAATAAAGTATTTAATTTGAAATAAAAGAAAATTTGATTCAATTTGTACAAAAACTTTATCAATTTTACGAAATGCACTTCTCTTATAATATTGATGCATAACAGTCCTATTGAAAATGCATATCTATTAAAATGGAAAAGAAGAAATTCAACTTATGGTCCTTCGAGCTTTGCACCAATTCTACAATTAGTCCTCGTCTTTCACTTTATCCATATTTGGTACCTCACTATCATTTTTTTTGACTATATATAGTCATTTTCCAGTAGTAAAAATGCCTAGAGATGGACCAAAAATGGTCAAGAAAACAATAGTTAGGTACCAAAAATGCATAAAGTGAAAGACGAGTACTAAATATGAAAATGACACAAAACTCGAAGGACCTAAAGTAGAATTAATTCAAATGGAAAACATCCGTGAATCTCAATAATTTTCTAAACACGGGCTACTCATTTAACACATTTAACAAAGGGATTATCCACTAGGGGTGGGATTTTGGAACCGGGAACCGTAGAACCGATTGGAACCGAACCGTTAACAATATCTAGGAACCGAACCATTAACAATTAATGCCTCATTTGTAGGAACCGAACCGAAGCGGGTTATAACGGTTCGGTTCCCGGTTCCTATAAAAAATATGTGCATGGAACCGTTAAGGAACCGTTATTAAAAAAATAAAAAAAATAAAATAATATTAGTAGTAGTAGTAACAACAATAATAATAATATAATAGCAATAATAACCACCACCACAACAACAATAATAAAACAATATAAGATATTTAACTAACAATTCTAATTTAATCAACGGAAAAGAAGTAATAAATATTGTACATGAGGTTGATATAATACATTAAACTCCTTTCTACAAATCAAGTTTTGTTCCATCACATAAATTTTATAAATATAAATAACCCAAATAACTTGTAGTTGATTGCACATATTTTACTTTACTATTTTCATGATACTTCTAATTATTAGATTTATTATAAATCAATAGAATGTAATAATGTTTTTTTATATCTATACATGCAAACTCAATGTCTTTTTTTTATATGTTTTGAACGACATGAAGTAGGCGTCCTATTCTTGCTACTATGATGACGAGTAACCTTCATCGCTCCGACACTACAACGATTTTTAATGTTTCATTTATTACATGAAAATTTAAAACACTTTTGTTCTATTAAGGGTTCAAAGTTCATTAGTTAAGTTTGAACTTTGATGTTTGAAGTGATTAGAGCTTCAAATAAAATTTTAATACTCGTGTTTTGAATTTTCAACGTGTTTAAAATTATGTGTTAATTCTTAGACGAGAAAAAATTATTCTAGGAACCGGTAAAAGGAAGAACCGAACCGTTTACTACCGGTTCGGTTCCATAACGGTTCTTGATTTTTTATATAGGAACCGAACCGATTTCATTAGTTAAAACTTTTATAACGGTTCCACTCATTTTGAGTAAGAACCGAACCGATCCCAGCCCTATTATCCACATCCACCAACCACTACCTTCCCATAATTATCTACTTTGGGTCAATTTGTTTGCCCCAACGGCCAACCTTTGGGTGCGTGATTTTGGAGTGTTTGCGATTGCTCTTAATTTAAAAAAGTGATTATTTGAAATGAATTTAGAGGAAATGCTTAATAGTAAAAATAAATAGTGTTTTAGAAAAAAATCTTTTTGAAAAAGTAAAAATGAGTAGTGTTTGATAAAATAAGTGATTTTTGTGCAATGGAAAAAGTGAAAAGCACTTTAAAACACTTCTCAACCAGTATTCAGCTTTTACATTTTAAATGTTTAATTTAAGTAAAAACAGTTACTTGAAAACATTCCTTCCAACTTTTTTAAGCTAGGCGAGAGGGCGAAAACCATTTTTTTTCAATCACCCCACGGGGCAATGTCTTTGCCCCAACGGCCAACCTTCCCAGCCCCAAGACCCCACATTTGGGGACTAGTTACTCGTTTTATGTTCCCTCCAATAAAACATCTATCCCATTTCGACACCATCCTTCATAACACATACTCCATAACTTTAAAATCTTCCCATTTCAAAAGTAGGTAGATTAAGAATAGTGAAAGATGATATGAATTATTGAGGGTATGATGAGAAAATAGTGGAATAATGTGGTGGAATGTAGGATAAATCCAAAAAAAGTAGTTGTAATAGTGTATTATTTTAAGAATTATTGAGGGTATGATGGGAAGATTTAGAAATGAGAAGTTTTTGTGTTACGGACGAAAAATGAAAGTGGGAAAATTTTTAACGGAAATTGTCCTAAATAGGACTAATGAGTTCCTAAAAAGCACAAATAGGACTACTACTTTTTAAATTCCCTAAATAGGACTAAACATAGATTTTCTACCCTAAATACTCCTAAGAGTATTAATTCATAATGAAATGCTTTAATTCATAATAAAATCATAAAAAAACGTAAAAATATTTAAAAAACGTAAAAAAATTATAAAAAATTTATAAAACATTTATAAAATAAAAAATTTAATTTTTATTTTTTTAATTTTTTTTTAAAAATAATAAAAAATAGTAAAAACCGATAAAAAAAATGAAAAAAATTATGGATACATTTCCCACCGCCATCCGCCGCCTCCCAGCACCACCACCTCCGATTGGTGAAATTTCTTCCACTTTTGGTAAAAAAATGTCATCTTTTTATGAAAATGCCAAAAAGATGGCATAATTACTCTTCAATATGCCAACATTTTCATTGAATATGCCATCATTATGGCATTATTTAAAATGTTGGCATATTTTTCTCCGGTGATGGGAGCTGGTGGTGCTGGGGGGTGGCAGGGGTGGTAATGTTTTTTTTTAATTTTACGATTTTTTTTTTAAAAAAAATATTTTTTTTATTTTTTTGAAAAAATATTTTTATTAATTTTC